ATAAAAAAAAAAAAAAAAAAAAAAGTCATACCTTGGGGCTTTGGCCCTTGGCAAGTTCACCATACAATTCTGGGTTCTTGCTGAAATTCAAAGATAGAATTAAATAAATGAAATAAAGGGAAATAAAAAAAATGTGAGATTCGAGAGAAGAACGAAACATTAGGGTGTGGAAACTTGTCCATAGCAGACACATTTTAAAAACCTTGAGGGGAAGCCCGAAAGAGAAAGTCTAAAGAAAACAATATCTACTAGCGGTGGGCTTGGACCGTTACAAATGATATAAGAGCTAGAAACTGAGTGATGTGCGAGCGAGGAGGCTGAGCCCTGAAGGGGGTGGACACAAGGTGGTGTGCCAACAAGGACACTAGACTTCAAAGGGGTGGATTGGGGGGTCCCACATTGATTGGAGAAGGGAATGAGTGTCAGCGGGGTGATAAGATAAGGAAAGTAAGATTTGGATTATCTTGTTGATCGAATATCTCAAGGCAAGAAAATTGTTTGAGATTCGAATCACTCCATAAGCAAATATTTCAACGCAAGAACATCGAAGTATATTGTATGATTGACGTCTCTTGGTTCATATCACTGGCTCCGAAGAGGGGTAGATTGTGAGATTCCACATCGGTTGGGGAGGAGAATGAAACATTATTTAAAAGGGTGTGAAAACTTCTTATTAGCATACGCGTTATAAAAATCTCAAGGAGAAGTTCAAAAAAGAAAGCTCAAAGAGGATAGTATATACTAACGGGGAGCGATGGGCTTGGGCAAGCGGTTAAGGAAAGAAAGAAAGAAAAGAAAAGAAAAGGCTTACTCATATTTCTCCTTCTTGAAATGAATGAAACCAGATTTGAGTCTGTCAACAGCATCATAGCTGGGCTTGGCTGCTTCTCCACCACTCTTCAGTTCAGCTGTTATCTGCTCCACCTTTGATGTTGCTTCTGCTTTCAAATCTCCCTTCTCTCTACGCCCACCACAAATATTTTCTTTTATCAAATTATATACATACATTTTTTTAAAGAATATTATGTATATTCCTTTTTAAGGTGTGTACCTGAGGAGCTTCTCCAAGGCCTCAATGGCTTCCTCATATGAACCATTCCCCATGTCTTCTCTCTACCAACAAGGAATTTGCCAAAAAAGGGTAATTATAAGAATAAAGTTTCATCCAAACCTATTTGGGTAGGTAGACTCAAAAGTCAACGGTTTCCCATAAAGTCAAAAGTACAACAGGGTAAAAGATTCCTTTCCTAAACTAGCGAGATTTGAACCAGAACAAAAATGTTACCCCAAACAAGACTTAACAGTGAAGTTTCAAACGCGTGAAATGATAGGTAATTAAGACGTCTGGAAAGAAAATAGGGTTTTTGAGATACAAATAATCACAAAAAAAAAAAACTTAAAGATGAAATTTCAAATTGATAGATAATCAAGACATCTGGAAAGAAAAATAGGGTTTTGCGAGATATAAATAATCACAGATGGATAACTTTGATCGTTCACCTCTAATATGACACGTTTCCTTCTAGTTATATGATTAACGGGATCAATCTTCCCTCGTGTGGGACTCTTGTTCTTTTAGAGAGACAAAAGTCGTTTCCTCGAGTAGTAGAAATCGTCGAGAAATGCACTTTATTTTTGTTTTTTTTTTCTTCTCTCCCTCTATGTATATGCATATATAAAAAGGAAATAAATGGATACTTTATTTAACGTAAATATTATGTTATGTAATTAATGGGCAAAATAGGAAGGGAACAGATGGGTGAAGTTAGGCACTCCATGGATTGACGTTACATGTCGGTTACGGTAAGAAACAAAACAGACATAAATACGTTGCCACGTGGCATAATAAGAGATCGCCACGTTAAAAAATAGGTAACGTCTGTGATTCTAGGCTAAAAAGGAACATGGAGGAGAAAGCGAGTGAAATGACACCCACCTCACAATTTCTCACTTCACCCACTATTATTTTCAAATACTTAAAATAAAGGCTAATTTTTATTTGAAGAAAATATTTAATTTTTAAAAAATATCCACATTTATCCATATTTTTTCCGCACTATTGTCGAGTACGAATGGGAGCGAAGAAATTGTTCATCACTCACATTCATACCCGATATAGGTGCAACGAAAACTTATTCCATATTAACGTTATATCTATAGTCATCTATATATTATTCGAACCAAAATATAGTTTAGTAAATAGATGTAAATTGTTATTTCAAGTAGGAAAGACCCGATCAATTCAACCCAATCCAACTTCTAAGATTTGGTTGGATTATGAACATATTTATATTTAAATTTCATTGGATTTGTTAACCCGAAAAAAATAAAAATTTGTTGTTAATTTTAAAAAATATTTTTGCTTAGGATACATTAATTTTTTTTTATGGGAAGATAGTTTTTCAAAATATATATCAAATAAATAAATAGACCCTTTTGAACTAACATTTTATTTTTATTAAAAACAAAAATTTAAATAAATAACCGGACAAACTGAACTTGAAAAAAATTTAAGTTGGGTTCGTTACTTAATAAAAATAACGACTCGGTCCAATCTAACCGATAAATTTTCCTTAATTTAAAATTTTTTTAGCACCGGCATGAAAGGATAAGGGACATTGATAGCAAAGTCCAAGAATATTCTATGGTCTTTATTCTGACAAATGTACCTCTCTTGTCCTCTCCCTTATTGTAATTTACTAATAAAAAATTAATAAAATAAAGAATAAAGGACAGTTTTGGTATAAGGTAGTGAGTAATACCCACATTTATGGAAGAATCCCAACTAAATTAACTAACTAATGCCAAACTAACTATAAAAGCAGCTCTTCTTTGTTCGATCTACCCGATTTCATGCATGCAAATGCAAAAAGAGTAATTCAATGAGATCAACGTTCTCTTAATAATCGTTAATGTTAGAAAATACGACTTTTGTCCACTATGAGCATAAGCTCTCGTGGCTTTACTTTTGGTTTATCCAAGAAGTCTCATATCAATAGAGATATATTTCTTATTATAAACTCATGATCAACCTCTTAATTAACTCGATCTGACGTGAGACTCTTCTCCCAACAATACTCAACAGTTAAGATGTGAATTCAAAAACCAATAATAACTTGCTCTAGGAATGAACTTGAAGTACGTTTTGGAGCTACTGTCATGTACATTCAACGGTATAAAACTATGAGCCGGGTCGAGAATGAAAATGCACAAAAACGAGAGAGAATTACGTACCCAAGTCGGGGTGATAAGAGGTGATGGGGCAGCAAAAACAGGCCTGTTTTGGATAAGATTAGGGATAGAAGAAGAAAAGGAAGGAGGAGAAGGGTTGAGCCTTGCAAAAGGGCGAAAAGAAGAAGATTTGTTAAGAGGAAGAGAGTGATAGCGAAGGCAGGCAGTGTTAAGCGATGCCGTCGACATTGTGCACTACGCCACTCTATTCTCTCCCTTTATAATAAAAACAACACACCAAACCTCCCATTTTCAATTCTCTCTCTCTCTCTCTCTCTCTCTCGATCGAGATAACGAAATCGAACCCTTACTCAACCACAACTTCTTGATCTTTCTCGGATTAGGAATGAGCGTTCCACATTTTCTCATTTCTCTCCTTCCTTCCATAAACCATTCAATCTGCTAGAATACGAGAAATTATCCAAGAACGTTCTAACCTAACGTGACTATTAGGATTCTATACTATTTGATAAAAACTACACTCGAAATTAATACTGGGTTGTTATTAAAAATACACGAGCCTACTCCAAACAGCTGCTCGATGAGTATCTACATCTCTCTCTTTCTCGTGCTATCTTCTTTTACGCTCTCTCTACTATGGACGTGATCGGTGATCCCATAATATTGGATGTACAAGAGAGAGATTATGATTTAAGAGCGTGTTATTAAAATAATATAAAATACAAAAAAATCATAAACTGAAAGATAAAAATGGTTGTTTAGGGTTTAGGGTTTAGGCTATTTAATCCTAACTCTTTGGAATGATAAAAAGAATATATTTTATTATTAATATTATGAACCAAGTCCATGTATAATATAATAATAATAATATAAATTAAGTCAATATTTACGTTATATTCTATCATTTTCCTAACTATATAGTTTTTTTTAATACATTACAAAAAAAAAAAAAAAAAAAAAAAAAAAAAAAAAAAAAAAAAAAAAAAAAAAAAAAAAAAAAA